AAAACCCCGTCTCTACTAAAAATACAAAAATTATCCGGGCATGCAGGCACGCACCTGTAATCCCAAGTACTGGAGAGGCTGAAGCAGGACAATTGTTTGAACCTGGGAAGCAGAGGCTGCAGTGAGCCAAGATCCTGCCACTGCACTCCAGCCTGGGCAACAGGGCAATACTCTATCCACCCCCCCCCCCCAAAAAAAGCAAATAGCCCTCAATAGGCAAAACAATCTTATAAAAGTACAAACATGGAAGACTCATAATTCATGATTAAAAACTTATTATAGTAGGCCGAGCGCAGTGGTTCACACCTATAATCCCACTACTTTGGTAGGCCGAGGCGGGTGGATCACATGAGGTCAGGAGTTGGAGACCAGCCTGACCAAAACGGCAAAACCTGGTCTCTAGCATGGTGGCACGTGCCTATAATCCCAGCTATTCAGGAGGCTGAGGCAAGAGAATCACTTGAACCTGAAAGACAGAAGTTGCAGTAAGCTGAGATCATGCCACTGCACTCCAGCCTGGGTGACAGAGTGAGACTCTGTCTCAAAAACAAAAACAAAAAAACAGAAAACTTATTACAAAGCTATAATAATCAAAACAGTGCAGTGTTCCATAAAGATAGTCATACAGACCAACCAAACAGAATTGAGAGTCCACAAATAAATCCATTCATCTATGACCAATTGATTTTCTAGAAGAGTGCCAAGACCATTCAACAGGGAAAGAATAATATTTTCAACAAACGGTGCCAGGATAACTGTATTTCTACATTCAAAAGAACTAAGACCCCTACCTCAAACCATATAAAAAAATTAACTCAAGCCGGGTACAGTGGTTCATGCCTGTAATTCCAGCACTTTGGGAGGCCGAGGCTAGCAGATCACCTGAGGTCGGGAGTTTGAGACCAGCCTGACCAATACGGAGAAATCCCATCTCTACTAAAAATATAAAATTAGCCAGGCGTGGCTGGGCGCAGTGGCTCAAGCCTGTAATCCCAGCACTTTGGGAGGCCAAGATGGGCGGATCACGAGGTCAGGAGATCAAGACCATCCTGGCTAACACGGTGAAACCCTGTCTCTACCAAAAAAATACAAAAAACTAGCCAGGCGAGGTGGCGGACGCCTGTAGTCCCAGCTACTCGGGAGGCTGAGGCAGGAGAATGGCATGAACCCAGGAGGCGGAGCTTGCAGTGAGCTGAGAGCCGGCCACTGCACTCCAGCCTGGGTGACAGAGCGAGACTCCGTCTCAAAAAAAAAAAAAAATTAGCCAGGCGTGATGGCACATGCCTGTAATCCCAGCTACTCGGGAGGCTGAGGCAGGAGAATCACTTGAACCCAGGAAGTGGAGGTTGCAGTGAGCCAAGATTGCCTGGACAATGAGAGGGAAACTCCATGTCATTTAAAAAAAAAAAAAAAAAATGTAACTCAAAATGGATCAATGACCTAAACACAAACACTAAGACCACTAACACTGTTAGAAGAAAACACGGCAGTAAATCTTCATGGCCATAAATTTGGATTCTTAATATGACACCAAAAACAAGCAACAAAAGAAAAAAACAGATAAACCAGACTTCAAAATTAAAAACTTTTGTGCATCAAGGGGATGCACAAAATCTACAGAAAGGAAGAAGGCATTTGCAAATCATATATCTGATAAGTGTTTAATATCCAGAATGTATAAAGAACTCCTAGAACTCAATAAGAAAAAGACAACACAATATAAAAATAGGAAAAGGACTGAACAGACATTTCTCTAAAGAAGATGTACAGATGACCAATAAGCAACATTCAAAGATGTTCAACATCATTAATCATTAAGGAAATACAAATCAAAACCACAAGGAGATACCATTTTATACCCCCTTGGATGGCCATAATCCAAAAAAAAAAAAAAAAAAAAAAACCCAAAATAACTAGTGTTGGTAAAGATGTGGAGAAATTGGAACCCTGCACAATGCTGGTGGAAATGTAAAATGGTGTAGCCATTTCGGAAAAAAGTTTGGCAGTTTCCCAAAAAGTTTAACACAGACTCACCATTTGTCCCAGCAATCATACTCTTTTGTATATACCAAACATTGCCAAATTAAGTATTGAGTATTTACACTCCTAGGTATATACTCAAAAAACCTGAAGACTGGGACGCGAACAGATACCTGCACATCAGTGTTCACTGCAGCATTATTCACAATAGCCAAAGGGTAGAAACAATCCAAGTGCCTATCAACAGATGAACAGATAATGAAATGTGGTATATACATACATACAATGGAATATTACTCCACTATGGAAAGGAATGAAGTTCTGATGTGCTTTAACAAGGATGAACCTTGAAAACCTTACGCTAAGTGAAATAAGCCAGACAAAAAGGACAAATATTACATGATTCCACTTATATGAAATATCTAGAATAGGCAAATTCATAGAGACAGAAAGTAGATTCAGGCTATCAGCAATGGAAGGAAGTAGGGATGGGCATTTATTCCTTAATGTGTAGAGTTTTTATTTGGGGTGATGAAAAAAGTTTTGGAAATGGATAGTGGAGACGGTTGCACAACATTGTGAATGTAATTAATGCCAATTAATTGTACACTTAAAAATTGCTAAGGCTGGGCACAGTGGCTCACGCCTGTAATTCCAGCACTGTGGGAGGCTGAGGAGGGCAGATCATCTGAGGTCAGGAGTTCAAGACCAGCCTGACCAATGTGGAGAAACTCCGCCTGTATTAAAAATATAAAATTAGCTGGGTATGGTGGCACACGCCTGTAATCCCAGCTGCTGGGGAGTCTGAGGCACGAGAATCACTTGAACCTGGGAGGCGGAGGTTGTGGTGAGCCGAGATTGCACCATTGCACTCCAGCCTGGGCAACAAGAGGGAAACTCCGTCTCAAAAAAAAAAAAAAAAAAATATATATATATATATATATATATATATAAAGTTAGGCTGGGTGCAGTGGCTCACGCTTGCAATCCCAGCATTTTGGGAGGCCAACGCGGGTGGATCACTTGAGGCCAAGAGTTTGAGGCCAGCCTGGTCAACGTGGCAAAACCCTGTCTCTACTAAAAACACAAAAATTAGCCTAGTGTGGTGGCGTGTACCCGTAGTCCCAGCTACAGGGAGGCTGAGGCATGAGAATCCTTGAAGCCAAGAGGCGGAGGCTGTGGCGACTGAGATGGCACCACTTCACTCCAGCCTGGGTGACTTTCTCAAATAATAAATTTTTTTAAAAAATTGTTAAAATGGCAAATTTTGTTATATATAGTTAACCGTAACAAAAAAAGTCTTGGGCCGGGCGCGGTGGCTCATGCCTATAATCCCAGCACTTAGGGAGGGTGACGTGGATGGATCATCTGAGATCAGGAGTTCAAGACCAGCCTGGCCAACATGGTGAAACCCCGTCTCTACTAAAAATACAAAAATTAGGCCGGGCACAGTGGCTCACTCCTGTAATTCCAGCACTTTGGGAGGCCAAAGTGGGCAGATCACAAGGTCAGGAGATTGAAACCATCCTGGTAGTGAAACCCCGTCTCTACTAAAAATACAAAAAAATAGCTGGGCATGGTGGCAGGTGCCTGTAGTCCTAGCTACTCAGGAGGCTGAGGCAGGAGAATGACATGAACCTGGGAGGCGGAGCTTGTAGTGAGCCGAGATCACACCACTGCACTCCAGCCTGGGCGACAGAGCGAGACTCTCTCTCAAAAAACAAAAATACAAAAATTCGGTGGGTGTGATGGCAGAAGCCTGTAATCCCAGCTACTCGGGAGGCTGAGGCAGGAGAATCACTTGACGCCAGGAGGTGGAGGTTGCAGTGAGCCAAGATCCCGCCACTGTACTCTGACCTGGGTGACAGAGCAAGACTCTGTCTCAAAAAAAAAGAACCAAACAAACAAACAAAAAGAAAGAGTATGTATGAGCAGCAATAACCAAATTATATTTCTTTTCCACTTAATTCCTTGGTATGACAGGCTTAACGGAGACTAATTGTCTTCTGAAAATATTTGTGATTTCTTGGTTATAATGAGACTATTTTCCTTCTGGAAGTTAGAGATGTAATATTTACAGAAACAGTAATTTCAAAATTGAGTGTTTCAGATGGCAGGAAAACAACTATGAACTTCACTGTTTGTCAAGCTCAAATATACCTTGTGATATTTTCTCTTCCACGTTTATACTCGTCTCTTTGCTATTGTAATTTATTTGGATTACAAGATTCTCAGTCTTTCAGATTCCACTTTGCATATTTGTCTCATACTTTAATATCTTTTCTAATTGTCACATTCATTTTAAGAGTTTCAGTTAATAGTGAATTATTAATTTTTACTAAAGTGATAATTTTATAAGTATTACTTTAGTTTCTACCTTCAAATACTTCATTACCTATTACACTCTGTGCCTAGTAGTTTAACGCACACTACAATATCATAAAATAATGTCAGTTCTAGGTACCACTGTATTTTGTTCCTGGCATAAAAGAAAAAAGGTTTTCTGTTGCCTCTTATTGAACCTTTTTGCATTCAAGAGATCCAACTTAGGCCGGGTGCAGTGGCTCACGCCTATAATCCCAGCACTTTGGGAGGCCGAGATGGGTGGATCACTTGAGGGCAGGAGTTCAAGACCAGCCTGGACAACATGGTGAAACCCTGTCTCTACTAAAAATACAAAATATTAGCCAGGATTGGTGGCAGGTGCCTGTAATCCCAGCTACTCGGGAGGCTGAGGCAGGAGAACTGGTTGAACCTGGGAGGTGGAGGTTGCAGTGACCTGAGATGGGGCTACTGCACTCCAGCCTGGGTGACAGAGTGAGACTGTCTCAAAAAAAAAAAAAAAAAGAAAAAAAGGAGATCCAACATCCAACTTAGAGAATAAAAAATTTAAAAACAAGAGAATTAAAAATGTACAACAATAAATGGGCGATATGGCAACATTTTATCTGCCCTGCTATGGTGATAATTAGCAGAAAGCAAGCTAAAGTTTGCAGCCTGGAGCTGGCTTTGTCCCTTACCTTGCCATTGAGAACGATGTTCTGGCTTCCACACAACACTGACTGGCGACTGACTTTGTTCCCAGATGCCTAAAAGAAAACAACAGAAAACCGGGGACAGCAAACTTAATAGGTTTCTGGACTACAGGTTTCCGTCAAGAAAGCTCACATTTGAGAGAAAAAAACATAAAGTGGGGTGCTGTCCCCAATGGAGTGAGTCCAGGATGTCAAAAAAGCAATGATGGATTAGGAAACTATGGCTGAGTGTGGTGGCTCACGGCTGTAATCTCTTTGAGAGGCTGAGGCAGACGGATCCCTTGAGGCCAGGAGTTCAAGACCAGCCTGGGCAACATAGTGAGACCCCCCCTTCTCTAAAAAAAAAAAAATTTTAAATTAGCCGGGCATGGTGGCGCGTGTCTGTAGTCCCAGCTCCTCAGAAGGCTGAGGATGGAGGATCGCTTGAGCCTGGAAGGCCGAGACTGCAATGAGCTATGATTGTACCACTGCACTCCAGCCTGGGCAATAGAGTGAGACCCTGTCTCAAAAAATAAAAAAAATAAAAGGAAACTAGGGACTCAAGGAATAAACTCAGAATTTGAACGTCTAGAGCTTAGTGGCATCAGCCCGACGTGGATTCAAATCCATTCACTTCCGCACTTGGGCTTTACGGCCTTAAAACGAGGATAATGACTGTATGAATATCGGAGTTGTCAGAATGCAAAGAAAACCAAAATAACAATAGTAACGTTAACTGACCACTTGCCCTGTTTCCAAGATTTTACAAACATGTCGTATACTGATAATAAAGAACCAAATCGGCAGGGTGCGGTGGCTCACGCCTGTAATCCCAGCACTTTGGGAGGCCGAGGCGGGTCGATTACCTGAGGTCGAGTTAGGGACCAGCCTGGCCAATGGTGAAACCCCGTCTCTACCAAAAAATACAAAAAATTAGCCGGGTGTGGTGGCGGGCGCCTGTAATCCCAGCTATTTGGGAGGCTGAGGCAGGAAAATCGCTTGAACCGGGGAGGCGGAGGTTGCAGTGAGCCGAGATCGCGCCACTGCACTGCGGCCTGGGCGACAGAGAGAGTCTCCGCCCCCCTCTCCCCCAAAAAAAGAACCGAATCGTTTTCGGCGCAAGTTACCACATTACAAAAGGCAACGTAAAAGGGCCCGAAGTTCGAGCTGTAATTCATATGAACAGGATGGTACTTGTCCTATCCTCCTGAAGGCACTTTATCCCTATGCGAAAATCAGGAATGAATACAAAAGGCCTAAACTGGCCATGCGCGGAGTAAACAGCAAAGCCAGACTGTACACGGGGCGTCGCTAGATAATCCGGGACTAACGGCCAAAGGGACAGGGGTGGGTGGGGTAGGGGCAGATTGGGAACTCCGACCAGGCCTCAAAGGGACGCAGGCTTGAAAAGAGGAGGACAGATATCTGGACCCGCGCACCGTCTCGATGTACTCGGACTTGTTGTAGAGCAGCTCGCCCAACTCCATGGCCGCCGCCTCCTTCCCTCAGGCCCGGATCCTGTCAGAGTCAGTCGGTCAGTCTTTCTGAGGTTCCGGCTACTTCCGGCCGCTCCTCTACTTCCGCTCTAGGTGGCCCACTGGGAGTCATCGACAGCTCGGCTCTCCTTTAGGCGGCCTCGCTCCACTGCTCGGCCGTCTCCGGCAGCGCGTGCGCAGGTCGAACGTTGGATTTAATTGGCCGGAGATTAGGGCGCGCCTGGCCCGCGTGGGTCAGCTGATCGCTCGCTGAGGGTGCGATCCCGGGCTCCCCATTCTTTGTTGGGGCGCCTCCCCGGCCCAGGGCCAACTGGGTCCCGGTGTCGGCAGGCCTGGGGTCGGCGACGGCTGCTCTTTCCGTTCTGTCGCCTGCCCGATGGAAGAGCCTCCCGGGAAGCCCCTCAGCTGTGAGGAGAAGGAAAAGGTGCCACGGGGTGCGGGAAGGGCGGATGCAGGACTCTGACCTCGCTTTCCCAGGGTTTTAGGTCTAGCTTTGTGTCCTCGGCAGTCCGAGGACAGCAGTATCGTCCGACGCCCCTCCCCCCACTTAGGGCGGAGGGGGCACAAAAAATGAAAATGTGGAAATAGCGTGGTGCTCACGTGGTGGCGTTTAAAGAACAAATCTCATTACAGTAACAGTGCATTAATACAATGTGTAACACTTTATAGATAAAGCTGTATCGACACCGTTGCTCCTCCCCCGTCCCACACCCTCAATCTTCACTTCTCCCGCCGCACCTCCTCAAGTAAATCTTTTAAGTCTGGTACTTTCAGGTCCTTTCGTGTGTTAGTGTGTGTGGTGGAGGAGGGGCGTATCCCTAACCACCAAAAAGGAGTCCTATGTATTTTTTTTGCGAAGGGAATGTTCGTAAATGGTATGATCTGAATGGTTCTGTAGGTTCCGTTTTTCGTACCCCTGTTTAGCATTCCTGTCAGGACATGTTTATCTACCTTTCTTTTTTAAGTTCTAGACAGCATGTTGTAGTTTGGAAGTTTCTTTTCTTTTTTCTTCCTTTTCTTTTCTATTTTTCTTTTTTGAGACAGAGTCTCACTCTGCCACCCATGCTGGGGTGCAGTGGTGCGATCTCGGCTCACTGCAACCTCCGCCTCCCGGGATCAAGCGACTCTCTTGCCTCAGCCTCCCGAGTAGCTGGGATTGCAGGAACCTGCCACTGCGCCTGGCCTTGGAAGTGCCCTTGCTTCTTTAGACTGTACTTTACTGGTAGACTTTTAGTATGTTTCCAGTTTGTGCTGATGTTATTCTTATCCTGGCTTACCTTCTAGTGGAGGTGAGAAAGATCATTTGTAAGCAAACAAGATAATCCCCCAGACATTTATAAGATTGGTGGGTAGGCCAGTCTCCGTGGCTCACGCCTGTAATCCCAGCACTTTGGGAGGCTGGGATGGGCAGATCGTTTGAGCTCAGAGTTTGAGACCAGCCTAGGCAACGTAGTGAAACCCCGTCTCTACTAAAAATATAAAAATTAGTCAGGTGTGGTGACGCCAGCCTGTAGTCCCAGAGGCTCAGGCCTCAGAGGCTGATGCACGAGAATCGCTTGAACCAGGGGACGCTTAGGTTGCAGGGAGCCGCCGAGATCGCGCCACTGCACTCCAGGCTGGACGACCAAGTGAGACTCTGTCTCAAAAAAAAAAAAAAAAGAAAAAAAAAGAAAATTCCAAGTAGCATGTTTTGCACATAGACTTTGTTTTTTTTTGTTTTGTTTTAGTTTTTTGAGACAGGGTCTTGCTCTGTCGCCCAGGCTGGAGTGCAGTGGTGCGATCTTGGCTCACTGCAACCTCCGCCTCTCAGGCTCAAGCGATTCTCCTGCCTCAGTCTCCTGTGTAGCTGGGATTACAGACGCCCAACACCGCGCCCAGCTGATTTTTGTATTTTTAGTAGAGATGGTGTTTCTCCATGTTGGCCAGGCTGGTTTCAAACTCCTGACCTCAGGTGATCCGCCCGCCTTGGCCTCCCAAAGTACTGGCATGACAGGCGTGATCCACCCCACCTGGCCTTTTTTTTTTTTTTTTTTTAGACAGAGTCTTGCTCTGTTGCCCAGGCCGGAGTGCAGTGGCACAATCTAGGCCCACCGCAACCTTCGCCTCCGGGTTCAAGCAATTCTCCTGCTTCAGCCTCCTACAGGTACCCACCACCACACCCAGCTTATTTTTGTATTTTTAATAGAGGCAGGGTTTCACCATGTTGGCCATGCTGGTCTCGAACTCCTGACCTCAAATGATCCACCCATCTTGACCTCCCAAAGTGTTGGGATTACAGGTGTGAGCCACCGCTTCCAGCTGAGTAGGTCTTTTGTTTTTTTTAAAGGTATGTATGGAGGATGGAAATCTTGATGTTTTATTGGTTGAAAGATGAGTATAACTAAAGAGTTCCTAAAAAGCAGAAAAACCAGGGCTGGCTTTGCTGCTGAGATAATCCTTTGAACCAAAGAAGCCAGAGAGACAAGGGAATCTAGACTTTCAGAGAACAGTAATTTGATTCAGCCCAATTCACTTATTCATTTAATAAATATTTGTTAAATGCCTACTGTGTGCCTGGCTGGAGATTCAGCAGTGATAGCTCCAACCTCACTGGCCTGCATGTTCCTCAAACATATGTAGCCTATTCCACTGCAGAGCTTTTATATTTGTGGTTCCCTCTGCCTGGGGTACCGTTCCCTCTGATCTTCCCAAAACTAGCTCCTTCCTCATTTGGTCTTAGGCTCAAATGATAGTCCTCAAAAATGCCTCCCTGACCACTGTAACTAAAGTAGTCCCTATCAGTAGGCCAGTAACTCTCTTATATCACTCTGTTTATCTGTCTAGTTATTTATTACCTTGTAAAATCATCTTCCCTGTTTTCTTATTTATTATGTGTATCCCTCACTGTATGTAAATTGCATCTAGAATAGCTTCTGGAGCACTAATTGACACACAGTGGGTATCACTTATTATTCCAGGTACTAGAGATACCTGGACCATTAACTGATAAATAGAAGATTCATTTGTTGAGTGACTGAGGATGACAGTCCCTGCTACCTTCAAGGAACTGGATCATGGGGAGAAACAGAGAACACAGTGTGAGAATACTGTGGTAAGGAAAGTACAGAGGACTGATAGAGTGTCTAACCTAGATTTGGAGAAGGACCTAGAAGTCTATCCCAGGGAAATGAAAATCTAAGCTAAGGCTTGAGGAGTCAGTAGGAATTGGCAAAGGAAGGAAATGTTCCAGATGATAGGAACAGGTTATACAAAGATCCTGAAATGGTCAAGAGCTTGGTGCTTTTTGAGAACCACAAGTAGATTGCCATGGACCAGTGCTACTCCCTGCCTCTTGCCAGGGGACCCCACCAAGCATTGCATCCCTTCCCTATGACTTCACCTTTCCGCTTGCCCAGTATTGTTGGTGTTTTTCTTCTTTCAGTTAAAGGAGAAATTAGCATTCTTGAAAAGGGAATACAGCAAGACACTAGCCCGCCTTCAGGTAAGTGAATCATGTTCTCAAATTAAGGTGTTACAGTACAAACAATTTAAAAACTGTTCTTGACTCTTTATATAAAGCTTTAAAGAAAACGTATTTCTGGAGCTGTTTTTGTTTCCTCTAGCGTGCCCAAAGAGCTGAAAAGATTAAGCATTCTATTAAGAAAACAGTAGAAGAGCAAGATTGTTTGTCCCAGCAGGAGTTCTCACCGCAGCTAAACCACTCAGGTAAATCTAGACCATTCCCTTATGCCTGCTTTATTATTCATTTCCCAGGTATATTTTGGCTGTTGTTCTTTTTCCCACAGAGTGAAGATAGTGACTAGCAATAGACACTTTAATTTTAATTTAATTTTATTTTTTTGAGACAGAGTCTCACTCTGTCACCCAGGCTGGAATGTAGTGGCATAATCTTGGCTCACTGCAGCCTCTGCCTCCCGGGTTCAAGCAATTCTCCTGCCTCAGCCTTCCGAGTACCTGAGACTACAGGCACGTGCACTACCACGCCTGGCTAATTTTTGTATTTTTAGTAGAAACGGGGTTTCACCATGTTGGCCAGGCTGGTCTCGAACTCCTGACCTCATGATCTGCCTGCCTCAGCCTTCCAAAGTGCTGGGATTTACGTGAGCTACCATGCCCAGCAAAAGATTTTTTTTTTTTACTTTAAGTATATATGAACAGAGAAAAATTCTAGGTGAAAATATTCTAAAAACAATGGTCAATAAATTCAAGTAATTTATAATAATAAAATTAAGGGTTATTGAAATGGGAGTGTTATTAAAATTACTTGAGCCAAGATGGAAAATAAAGAAAGAAAGACATGGGCTAAAAAATTAGTTGAGATTTAAAAGTTAAGAGAAGAGATTGTGTGATAAAGAATACTCTGTTTAAAAAACATTTTTAGCACAATGCTATTTGTTTACATGTACTTAAAATTTCATAGATTGTTAGAATGTTTAAAATTAGAACTTTTAAAAATATGTACAGTATGGAGTATGTAGAGTTCCTTTACATATGCCTTCAGATAGTAGAAGTAGTCAGCACCTTGAACACCTTGAACCTAAAGGTAACAGTGACCTTACTACTCACAGCCTAAAAAATAGATTTATTTTACCTGTAAATTCATCTGCCTGAATGAAATGTCATTGATTCTTTCTTAAATAAATGTTTAGTAGTATTTATATGTAATAGGATAAAAATGAGTATTTTTTGTTTTATTTATAAGAAAAATATGTTATATACATTTTTTTTCTCCTCAGAACCTAAATATAAAATATGTGTTTATGACAAGTTACACATCAAAACCCATCTTGATGAAGAAACTGGAGAAAGGACATCTGTCACACTTGATGTTGGGCCTGAGTCCTTTAACCCTGGAGATGGCCCAGGAGGATTACCTATACACGGAACAGATGACACCCAAGAACATTTTCCCCACAGGGTCAGTGACCCTGATGGTGAGCAAAAGCAGAAGCTGCCAGGGAGAAGAAAGAAGCAGCAGAAGAGAACATTTATTTCACAAGAGAGAGACTGTGTCTTTGGCACTGATTCACTCAGACTGTCTGGGAAAAGACTAAAGGAACAGGAAGAAACCAGTAGCAAAAATCCTACTAGATCACCAGTAACTGAAATAAGAACTCATCTTTTAAGTCTGAAGTCTGAACTTCCAGATTCTCCAGAACCAG